CATCAACGCCACCACACATGACCACCGCTGCAACAATCGGTCACCACTGTCAACACCAGTACTCTCACCATCGTCAGTAACACTACCACACTATCACCACCATCACCATGATATGATCCAGATCACCAGATCAGCACTGACAATGTCACCACCATCAGGACAAAATGGCAGGTCCACTAATCCCAGGAACAAAAGGCAGTCAGAGGACAGAGGGCCATGCCACGCCCCCTCCCTTTAGGCTAAGCTGACCTTTCTGAGAAGCACAGCACCTAGTCAATTCAACACAACAGACTTATTTCTCACCAGGGTCCCAGGTCTGCACCATAGGGAATTCTGAGATTGACCCCATATCTTCTGACAGTGGAGAGGAAGAGAGCAAGACTAGCCAGGAACCAGGTCTACAACTACTGAGCAGCTCCACCGGGACACAGGGTAAGTCACAGAACCCTGACCACGAACCAGCCACCAAGGGATGGCTTCTCGAGGGGTATAAAATTTAACCAACGTAAATTCATCGTTACAGAAATTTATGAGGGAGGGGTCACATTCCCGTTTCAGAGACAAAAATCACCAAGACTTAGAGAAATCATGAAACTATTATCCAAAGTCACAAGGCCAGACGAAGGGGCAGGTCGGGCACTTACGTTTCTAAGCACCATGCAGCACAGCTGCCTAGAACCCAGCTGTGATGCTTAGTAGTGATTATCAACTTGATAAGATCACGAATCACCTAGGACTCAAACCTCTGGGCATGTCTGAGAATCAGCATTCGGCCCTATCCGCTTCCTGAATGCAAATACAGCGTCTGCAGTCCAGGCTCCTGCTGCCCAGCCTCCTCACCACAGACTGCATCCTCAGACTGTGAGCCAAAACAAACCTGTCCTTCCTGAAGTCCCTTGTCAGGTGTTCTGTCACAAGAAGGAGTAAAAAGATACCTGCACACCCGAAGGAAGCCCGCCTCCCTCTGGCAGCTGGCCATGGCTTTCCAGGAGCCACTGTTTCCTTGGCTCTCACAGAAAAGCTCATAAAACCAGCCAGCCTGCACACCCGAAGGAACCCCCGCCTCCCTCTGGCAGCTGGCCATGGCTTCCCAGGAGCCACTGTTTCCTTGGCTCTCACAGAAAAGCTCATAAAACCAGCCAGATGTCAAAACAAAAGTCACACAAAACCCCATCTAACATCACACAAGGACTGTCACAAGCACACCTTGCCACAAAGTCCTTTTTAGATGAAATATTTTCAGTAATACTTCCCCTCCAGATCCTGCCGACATCAGTCAAACCCCAGCCATGTTCCTGTCTAACATAGATTGATAGTTATAGCACAGAAAAGGACATTCAGTACCCCGCGCTCTGGTCACACAGAGATCCATCTGTGTCCCAGCTCTACCCCTGTTGCTCTGAAATGCAGACAGGAGAGTGACCGATGTCCTGGGGAAGGATTTACATGGCAAAATCCTATCATAGGAACACGCTACCTACCCCACCCAGTCCGGTCTACTTGTTCAGTTAGGAGGCTGTTCACTCAAGGCTAAAAGGGCAGGTTGGAGCTAAAACCCAGTCCAAGCTTTGTTTAGCAAGCACTATGCCCACCCCAAGGCAATGGCTTTCTGTGACCTCAGAGGTGCTGGTGATGGTTCCTCCTGATGGTCAACCTGACACATGGAAAGAGGGAATCTCAAATGAGCCATTTCCTCTATCAGACTGGCCTGTCTGTGGAGCACTTTCTTAATTGCTAATTGATACAGGAGGGCCCAGCCCACTGTGGGTGATATCATCGCTGGGCAAGTGGGCCTGGGCTGTGCAAGAAAGGTAACTGAGCAAGCCAGGGGAAGCAAGCCAGTAAACAGTGCTCCTCCATGGTCTCTGCTTCAGTTCCTGTCCCATGTCCCTCAGTAATGGACTATCTAAGCTGAAATAAACCATTTCCTCCCCAAGTTGCTTTTGGTCATGGGGTTTATTACAATAGACAGCAAACTGGGACAGCACTGCAGGGCGTGGGAACTGTCCAAGGGGCCATCAGGAACCGGGATGTGTTCTGTAGCCCTGCCCATAGTCCACATGCAATACACATCTTCAAGACTTACATAAGGTGAATCAGCAAGTCGGGAAGAAGGGCCACACCCCCATGAGGACAGGTGCCAGCCTGAAAGCATAGCCCTCAGAATTCCCTTTTTGCAAATAAAGTTTTACTTAGTTACAGGATAAAGGAGAGGTGAGTGGCTTTGAGAACTTGCACAGAGCCTCCTAGAAGGGGACAATTGGAAGGGCCTCTCCAGGTGAGAGCAGTTTGGGGTGCCTCTTCAGAGAGCAGGTCCTACCCTCCCCACTGCCCACGGTCAGGGTGGGGCCCAAGCTTCAGGGTAGACACATCCAAACCAACCTAGGGCAAGTCTAGATCCACCCAGGCATCCACCAAGGCTTACCATCTCCCAGCCACACCCAGAAGGTTAACCCCAATCACCATGAGAGTTTATAAAGGAATGTGGAAGGGACTATGTACAGCATACAAAGTACACTGGTTCAAAGTGTCCTTATGTGACACAGTACCGTGTGCATGAAGATACACCATGAAATTGTTTTATTTCATGCAACTACAAAGGAGTAAACTGATCTGGCAAGTTGTCCTCTAAGCTCCACTCACACACCATGACACATTTGCCACAGACATACACACATGCACACATATAAATTTTAAGTAAAGAAAGATCACTGAGTTCCCCAAAGGGGCCTCTCCCTTGCAACCACGTGTCTGTGACACTCTGGCCAGTGCCCACTGCCCCTTTTCTAACAGGACCCCAGCATGTTACCTGCTTTAACCCTGTATCACAGAGCCTTGTGTGATGGGAACTGGTAACCCATGACAACCAGAGAGGGCAGGCTCCCTAGGGAAACCCCAGCAGGAAGACATAAGCCACAGAGTTTAGGAAGAAGGAACTTCCAGGGTGACTGCTAGAGACACCCACGCCCTGCTGTTTGGAGGTCTCTCCCCTCCAGTGTGGGTCTCCTCGAGGGGAAGGTCACAGAAGGACTAACTTCCAACCTGTGTGTTCCCACCCTCCACTCCCATGCAAGTTCTGGCAAAGCCAGCTGTGAGCTGTCCCGGGGATAGGCCCAAGTGGTAAAGATCACAGGTAGCTTGTGCCCACGGTCACCAAGGAACTGAGCCCTTTCAGCAGCCCACGTGACTCAGAAGCCCAGCTGCAGTAGATGGACAGTGACCTCGACCCGGCACCTTCAGGGTGGCCCACAAGAGACGCTGGACACAGGGAAGCCACCCCCGCTCCCCGGATGCTGCCGCAGAATAAGAACTGTTTCCAGCCACAGAGCCAGGATTCAGTCCTGCTTTCCTCTCCTCGCTCTAGCACTCCCCTGTCCCCATGGCTCCCTCCAGCCACAGACAGATGGAGCATGCTCTAATCTCTGAGCCCAGAGGCCCACAGGGGCCAGGCCACCAAGCCACTGAACACACCCATAGGCTCAAGGCCATCCTTACCACAGATACCCACGCAACTTCCTACCCCATCACACTGCAGTCTTCCTGCAGGGTGCCTACCCAGGATGTCCACTCTGGGCTCCCTCCTCCTCTTCCTGCTGAGGGTTGGGCTCCATGTCCCTTAGCTATACCAGCTCTTTCAACTCCTCCCACCCAAGTCACCACCTACTGTGGGCCCCGAGTTCTATATGGTGCTCTAGAACCCCTGTGCCCCTTGGTCCAGGAGCTGGCAGCAAAGGACCTTCTCTCCAATCACATGCCAAGGTCATCTAAGACTAGACGCCTCCCTCACCACCTGTGTCCCTCATCCTCAGCTGATCTGCACTCAGCTCACTCGCCCCGCCCCGCCATCACATGCACCTGCGCACTTTGCCATCAGCCCCCATTTCACAGAGGAAGAAACTGAGGTATGCAGAGGGGAAAAGTCCTCCTCCAATACCAGGTTTGGGATGTGACCCAAGGTAGTATGGCTCCGGATCTATGCCATGGACCACAGGAAAATTAGCCCTCCAGAGAAAGTGTGTAAGCAGGTTTAAGGGTTAGAAAGTGTGTAAGCAGGTTTAAGGGTTAGAAAGTGTGTAAGCAGGTTTAAGGGTTAGAAAGTGTGTAAGCAGGTTTAAGGGTTAGAAAGTGTGTAAGCAGGTTTAAGGGTTAGAAAGTGTGTAAGCAGGTTTAAGGGTTAGAAAGTGTGTAAGCAGGTTTAAGGGTTAGAAAGTGTGTAAGCAGGTTTAAGGGTTAGAAAGTGTGTAAGCAGGTTTAAGGGTTAGAAAGTGTGTAAGCAGGTTTAAGGGTTAGAAAGTGTGTAAGCAGGTTTAAGGGTTAGAAAGTGTGTAAGCAGGTTTAAGGGTTAGAAAGTGTGTAAGCAGGTTTAAGGGTTAGAAAGTGTGTAAGCAGGTTTAAGGGTTAGAAAGTGTGTAAGCAGGTTTAAGGGTTAGAAAGTGTGTAAGCAGGTTTAAGGGTTAGAAAGTGTGTAAGCAGGTTTAAGGGTTAGAAAGTGTGTAAGCAGGTTTAAGGGTTAGAAAGTGTGTAAGCAGGTTTAAGGGTTAGAAAGTGTGTAAGCAGGTTTAAGGGCTATCTTAGACTTTGTTGTTGTTTTGAGAAAGGGTCTCACTTTGTCGCTCTGACTGGCCTGAAACTCGCTATGTAGACCAGGCTACCCTCAAACTCAGAGAAATCTGCCCATCTCTGTCTCTGCCTCCAGAGTGCCACCACACCTGGCCTGGTCTTAAAGCTTTTACTGGTTTGTTTTCAGTGATCATCGCTAGATGGCCAAGAAAAGGAAATCGATATTTTGTAATGGTAATTAAAAGCACAAGCGCTTGGGAAAACCAAGCCATCTACATTTGGGTTATGAAACATGTCGTCTATGTGCTTTCTGGAAGAAGTGCCTTATGAAGTGCCCAGTCAGAACTATCTAGAGCTACCCTGCTTCCAGTCAGAACCCTCCCAAAAGGACAGGTCGTGGTTATTTTTTAATGAAATTGTGTAATGTTCAGCATACTTACAGTAAAAATTAGGCTCCAGCAAGTTTCCTTGCTTTGCCCTGGGTTCCCAGATGCTGATTCCTGGAGGCCGGTTCATTGCATTAAAACAACTGCCTACGAAGGAGAAATACACAGCAGCTCCATCAAACCTTCTACTGTCATGTTCCTAGGACCTTCCAGATGTATTCTTGAGGTATCCTCACACAAACTGCTCCACGGGAATCACTCCAATCCCCAGCACATCTCACTGCTGGAAACTAGCTCAGGTGAAGGGCTGGGCTGTCTGTTCCCACCTCACCTCTCAGGACTCACGCAGCACTCTGAAAGTGAGCAGACACGCTGACAGTATACCACCGTCCTACCCACCCCATTTCAGAGCTTAGGACCCTCCAGACCAAGAAGCTTCAAAGACACACAAGGAACAAATGCAACACTCCCTTTGTGTGGCACATGAGACTCTCAGTGACCCACCTGAAAAGGTAGATTCAGGAAAGGAGAAGCTTCCAGAAAAGATGACTATAATCTGGGTGATTTCTGTGGTTGTTGGGTTATTTCAGTGATTTTTTTTTTTTTTTTTTATGCTTTAAAAGATAAGTGGAGCTAGGGAGAAGGCTCGGCAATTAAGAGGACCCAAGTTAGGTTGCCAGCATCCAGCTCAAGAGGCTCACAAACACCTGTTGCTTGGCCCTGGTATTTCAGCAGGGCATCATGGTGGCTACAGAGAGCGGCACAGGACAGCTGTTCATGTCACAGCAGACCATGAAGCCAAGAGCTAGGAGGAACCAGGGGCCAAGCAGAGCCTTCCAAGGCCAGCCCCTAGTGACCTGCTTCTGCCAGCAAGGCCCCACCTCCTAAAGGCCTCCTCAAATCACTCCACCAGCTGGGGACCAAGCGTCCAAAACACGAGCCTGCTGGGGATATTTGAGATTCAAATCACAACAGCAGACTTGGAGAACACTTCTTTTTCATGACCACAAAAGAACGCGACCAAAGCTCCCTCTGGCCACCAGACACCAGCACAAACGGGAATCTCTAAGGAGTCTGTGGGAATGTGTGCCCCTGGTAAGATGGTAGGGCAGATGATCCGATCAAGCCAACTTCACAGACAATGTCCTCCTCACAGACAACAACACGGAGCAGATCACCCTGGACCAGCAGGTCTCTGAAACACTGATGGAAAACGTGCAAATGCTCAGCACATAATTGCTTTGGCCACACATCCATCTGTTGGCTTCCTCCTGCCTATGCATCCATGTTATGTCTAATCACCCCCAGCAGGATTAGCTTGGTGGAGTGGCCGAGCAGCTTAACAGAGTCACTGTAATTCGATAGACACTTCTGATTTCCCTGATAAGATAGTTAGCTATTACTGCTTGCTATCACAACTCCAGTGCCTGTCAATACTAGTCAAATTTTCCTGATAAACTAATTCCATGCTGCCCACCAGCTACGGAGGAAAGAGCACTGATTTATTTGGGCCGAAGACTTTGTTCCCTCACAGACACTTTGGAAATGAATATTGAGTGTGCAGTGCTCTGGATTCTTTCTGTCATCTAATTTGGGAAACCACTGTGATCTGAAAGAAAATGCAGACCAGTGGTGTGGCTCTCTTCCCGCTAGAGCTGCTGTATTCGAAATCATTCTCAATCAATTCCCATCGAATTAAACCAGAATTCTGAAGCAAGGCAAGTCACTAAGCGACCCCCAAATACCGAGAGCCCGCCATTACGCCTATCAACCACGCTTACTTCATTTATAGGGTAAACTTCTTATATTACTAAGGCAGACAGCAAAGAAAGCCAGATTTAGAAGAAAAGTCCAAGTCCAACTTTCAAAAGTAAGAAGGCCATTTGAGAAGGAGGATGAACTAGGCACCTGGTTTTCACCCTCACCTTCCTCCAGTTTTGCTTCCCTATCTCCCAAATCCCACCACTAGTCTCAGGAGTAATCAGAAAGTTTAGCTCCCCCCCCACACCCGTCCCCAGGATAACAAGACAGCAGCTACATAGAGATACACTGCCTAAGAAGATGGATGGATGGATGGATGGATGGATGGATGGATGGAGTAGGTAGATAGATGATAGATGAAGATAGATAGATAGATAGATGACAGATAGATATAGATAGATGATAGATGATAGATAGATAAATAGATAATAGATAGATAGATGATAGATAGATAAATAGATGATAGATGATACATAATAGATGATAGATAGATAGATAGATAGACAGATAAATGATAGATAGATAGATGATAGATAGATAGATAGATAGATAGATAGATAGATAGATAGATAGATAGAGGTAGATAAATAGATAGATAGGGTCCTTGAATGGACATTTCTCCAAAGGATCCAGACATATGACCAGTAACCATATGAAAAGATGATCAGTATTATTAACCACTAATCATTACAGAAATACAAATCAAAACCACAATGGCATGCTCACATTAGGATGGGTTATCAAAAATGAAAAATAAAAAAACCAAAACTGGAACACTTGTGCACCATTGATGTAAATACAGACTAGTGTGGCCGCTGTGCAAAAAAAAAAAAAACGGTGTGACAATTCTTCAAAACACTAAAACACTGGAGCTAGAATTACCAAGTCCTCCTCCAATTCCACTTCTGTGTAGATTCCTAAGTTTATCGGGGGCCTCAGGATGGCTCTCCTTCAGCAATGAGCACATAGGAGGCAAACACACAAAGGACTATCATTCAGGCTTTTAAAAAGCTAGACATGGCCAGGCATGGTGGCGCAGGCCTTTAATCCCAGCACTCCATAGTGAATCCAGGACAGCTGGGGCTACAGGGAGACCCTGTCTCAAAAAGACCAAAAAAAAAAAAGCTAGACATACCACCTGTGTGAACTTCGAAGACATTATGTCACATGAAGTCAGCCAGTACCTCCGCTGCTTGAGCCCACACCTAAGGGCCTGGAAAGCTCAAATTCAGAGACAGCAGAATGGAGACGGCTCCTCACACTATCAAAGTGAAGAGTTCTGGAAGTGACAGGTGGGTTACAAGATAGGAATGTGCCAGGTATGGTGGCCCACACCTTTAATCCCAGCACTCGGGAGGCAGAGGCAGGTGGAGGTCTAGGTAGAGATTTCCAGGCCAGATGGGGCTACAAAGTAGACCCTGAAAAGGGAGGGAGGCAGGGAGGGAGGGAAGGAAGGGAAAGAAGGGAGGGGAGGGAGGGGAGGGAAGGAAGGAATGAATTTAATGCCACTGAGATGAAGTAAAAACAGTGAAGATTGTAAATTTTGTTACGTATATTTTTTCACATTAAAAAAGCAAAACAGGAGTAAACAAGCTCGCCAGGGAAGCTGGGCGCTTTCTTCTCACAGCAGGTTCAATCATTTTTCTCCAATTTTACACAAACCATTTTTATTCTTTCTAAGTGGGGTTTGTAATAGCCTAACCTCTAGAAACCATGTATAGGGGCAACAGGAAAATGACCAGGAGCCAAATGTGGTCATCCCCAATTCTCTACTGTGAGAGCCAAGAGTGATCTTCACACTTTCAAGGTCTGGTGGGGAGCTGGGCGTGGTGGCGCACACCTTTAATCCCAGCGCTAGGGCAGAGGCAGGTGGATCTCTGTGAGACTGAGGCCAGCCTGGTCTACACAGTGAGTTCCAGGTCAGCTGGGGCTACAGGAAGACCCTGTTTCAAAAAGACAAACAAGAACCAGCTGGAGGAGAATAACATTGGCAGTGTTTCATAGCATGCAGCAATTACAGATTTTAAATTTCAGTGCGCATACATGGTCTCAGTGGGACATAGCCCAGGGCTCACATCTGTTCACATCCATGGCCACTGCTGCACCCCACCATAAGGTGGACTTCTGAGTCACCGAGATAGAGATCCGTGGCTCACGAAGCTGAAGTGCTTTGCAGCTGGCCTTTCATAGACAGTGTTTTTAGAACAGCCTCACATCCAATGTGCTTCAGGACTATGATCACAAATCTTGAGGAGTTTCCTAGAATCTTCACATTGTGTTCATTCTCACATAGTTGCTAAGCCCCTAAGTCATGTGCCAAGGACAGCAGAGGATGATGGTAGGAACACAGACACAGCCAGGGCTGAGGCCACCTGGGTCCTTGGGGAGTTGCTGGATCTACCATCAAGTCACTGAACGTGACGCACAGGAGGCTGTGAGCAGCACAGAGCAGGGACACCTTAGCCAAACCAAAGGACAGTGACAGTTAGGCAGATAGGGGACAGGGGGCAGCAGGAAGGATAGAAAGGGGGAAGAGGTGAGGAGCTGGGTAAAAAAGAGACCAGGTCACCCTCTCAGGTAGTTCCAGGCCTGGCCAGCCTGGTGAGATTCGAGGGAGTAAGGCCAGGCCCCCAAGAGCTCTGACAGAGGCCAGGCCAGGCCCTCAAAGAGTCTCGATGGCCTGGAAAAGAACACGTTTCATTATGTATTCCCCAGACCCTCAGAACCAGGTACAAACCAACACCACTCTGGGGTTACCAGTTGGATTGTGGGGTAGAGCAATTATTAACCCCAACTTTCTACCTACTCCAGAGGAAAACACTAGACCAGCACCCAGCCACCAACCAGAAACGAGCAAAGTATATAAATGTTTACAGAGGCCTGGAAAAGAACACGTTTCATTAAGTATTCCCCAGACCCTCAGAACCAGGTACAAACCAGCACCACTCTGGGGTTACCAGTTGGATTGTGGGGTAGAGCAATTATTAACCCCAACTTTCTACCTACTCCAGAGGAAAACACTAGACCAGCACCCAGCCACCAACCAGAAACGAGCAAAGTATATAAATGTTTACAGTGTTCTTCAAACCTTAAGGAGTTCTTAATAGAACACAGGCTCAAAGTAATCCCTAGCAAAGCCAGCCACTTCTTAGGAAGCACTGACGTCCCGTGGGAAGGGCACAGGAGACAAGCAAATCCCTTACAGTTGGGTAAAAACCCACCGTTCTGCATTCATGACCGCCTGCTCCCCGACACTGACATACAGCACCCCCAAAACAAGGCTATGCCTCCTGTATCGCCTCACCCCACCAGGTCAGCACATGGGAAGGGCACAGGAGACAAGCAAATCCCTTACAGTTGAGTAAAAACCCACTGTTCTGCATTC